AATTTGAAAATTCAGATCTGTCATGGAAAAAAAGAAAACGAACAAAGCTAGTGGTACAAAGCGTGACTCAGACAATATGAAACTCAGAGGTGCACTCTTCTCATGAGGCAATGCAGGAGACTCATCAAGACAATGAGTCACGCTGCTTTGCTTTGCTACAAGCTCAGCTGAAGAGTAAGCGAAGAGTAAAAGGCTCTCAGGAGCCAGAGAATTTTGCCTTCTAATGTCTTGTATGAGTTAAGTTATTTCTCAAGTGTCAACAGTGTGTGTTAATAATAGTTATGTGACAGTGAGTGACTCTGGCAGCAGGGAGTGAAGTTTGGCTGGGTGCCAAATATTCCAATAGCAATAATGTGGTTTTCCCAGTTGGAGTTGGCAAAGAAGCAAGCATCTGTCTGCACTAACCACCTCGAGTGGCCACTGTTTATACCAGTCCAGCCGTGATTCACATTGAAGTTTGCTTTTGCCCTGTGTCCAGCTGAATAAATGAAGACTAAAACTCTGATGCCATTTGAATGTTGAGAGATATTCTGCTGTTTAAAGAGCTCGACTCTGGCCCTTGTTTTGAATTTAGCTTTTAGAAGCTTTTGACTGTGGCGCATTCTCTCCTTGTAGAGAACAAACATTTTGCTGAAGAGGCCAAGTTCAGGAGAACTTCTGAATGAAAGTGAGCTTCTGAAAGCTGTTTGGTTTTAATCCTGTTGCAGCCAGCCCCTGATCATGCAGACTCTTGAGCACACTTCAAAGCTCAGCACCACCGCGATGGCTCTCTCAGCCCATTCTTTGGACATCACCTTCGGAAGTTTGCTATCTGCCGGTACCCGTCGACGTGATCTGTTTTGTTCCAGCCAAGTGGATTATACCCAGCACCTTGGGATCGGACCTTTCCCTGTGTGTGAGGTTATCCACATTCCAACTGTTATGCATTATGAGCTCTGAGAGTCTGGGCTGGCTAGTGTATGTGTCCTCTGGTTAGCCTCACTGACCTGCAGGCCAGACCAGTTAATGGGCTGGATTGCAGCTTCTCTAGCTTCAGACTTGTGTGGGATTTGCTGCCTACACACCACAACCCACAGGGGGTCCTCATCACCTCAGACAATTTAGTTGTACTCTCTAGAAGCTGAAGCCTTCATGCTACATGCTACTTTCTTCTGCTGTTTCTCTCTGTTTTTGCCCACAGCTCATCGTGAACTCTGACTCCTTAATCACAGTTAAATGCTGGCAGAGCTGGGAAGTGAGAGACTACTGGGTAAAGTTTGAGAACCTCTGTGTAGGAGAGAGACAGCGAGATAATGGGCTTTGCTCTCAATGTGCTGAGGCCTCTAACTGCAAGCTAAAGATGGTTTAAAACTTCAAATGGTAACATTTGTTGAGCTCCTAAGCACCAGAAAAGTCTGCAAATTAAGCGCTGGATAGATTTTGGTTTATTTCTGTTTTTCTCTGCCGCTCTGGGTATTTTTTACTGACATCATATTTTGAGTTATACATGTAAGAATATAAAATGCACTCTGTATTGAAATGGTCAAGGTTTGAAGCTGAAACCAGAGGTGATGATGCCTCTAGTTATATAGGCAGTGTGCCTGTTTTTGTACTGTGTGAGGGAGCACTGTTGAGCTGAGGGAGCTCTGATGAGTGCTTATAGAGTGCTAAACCAAGTTCCAGCTAAACTGCTCATCCATTACCCTGGCCGCCTGCACACATCACAGATTTAATGTGCCAGGGTCGTTTGCGTGGCAGCAGCTCAACCTTCAGGGAACTCATTCATGCCAGACTGGAGGCCAGGAGCAGATTAGATCAAATCAATGTGAGCCCTGTAATGTGGCCTCTAGTCTGTCCGACCACAGAAGTAATACTGCACTAGCCCAGTGTTTCAAGACCCCCTTCAGGGCAGACCTGTCTGTATCAGGGAAGGGCTGATCATCTTCCTGCTGTGTACCTGGAAAAACAGGCTTCAGTGCGGACCATGAAACAGGGTTCATTAAGCTCCCACTCTGCCTGATCACAGCTCTGGCAAAGCGAGCATACAGGGAGGGGGCGTAGTGTCTTTACATTTACAACTGAGTCTGCGATGATGTGAGAATCAATAGTAGAATATTCACTGTCCGGGCTGCTGTGCTGGCCTGGATCTCAAGCTGGGCTTTTATGTGAGGCAATACAGCAGCTGCTGCTGCTGCTGGAGAGACATGAGACCATACCAATCACTTAAATCACCTCTACATCCTCAAAAGAACAATTACCCTGGTGAGAGTGAAGACTGCCTTCTACCCTAGCTCAGTGCCAATTGTTCTTCACATAAAAGCTGTTGTTCATTTAACCTTGAAGATTAGCTATTTGCTTGCAGTTATGGGACGTATTGAGTGTTTCTAAACAGACACATCCCCTGAGAAATGTGGGAATTGCTTGTTTTACATCGTTCCCTTAGGTAACGCTTAGTAATTTTACTGAGCTCTTTACATTAACCCATGTAGAGCAACTAGGTTATATAACTTAACCAATTTTCTTGAATGCCAATATTACAATGTAGCCGGCAAGACAAATTTAGCTTAGCTTAGTTTCTTTGTTGAGGGATGTGTCACAGAGGATGAACATTGTCTCATTGTGTTATTTCCATTACTCGTGGGTTCAATAATATTGGCCAGTTAAAAAGTACATTTAGAAAAAGTTTGAAAAGTGAGCATCGGAGTTACAGCAGTTTGATGGTTTCACTGCTTCCAGTACCTTCATTTTTTTCCCATTGGCCATTTTGACAGCTGACTGCTGAATTTGCACCTGAAAAAGGTGTTAAAAGACATTCAAGTAACAAACTGTTATATTTGAAAAATCACTCGTGTTCTTAATCTTTGCATCTTCTTTTGCTCTTCCCTCTAGTCACTGAGAGGTGTGAACAGCTTGCATCCCTTTTTGCAGATTAATTTCAGGGTATTTTTAAGGCCTTTCTCTTGTGATGTGGTATGTCAACATCACTCAGTCTGGTACAGTATATATCTTGTCTCTTAGTGACAGAACTATATTTTGCACCTGTTTGATCACATCATTTTACTTCTTGGTAATGCAGAGTTTTAGTCATCCTACTACAAGGGAAGTAACATGAATTTGAGTTAAAACGCATTAAATCTGCATAGATATGTTTGATATTTACACTGAATCTTATGACTCACTGTGTAATGTGAATGATGCTGCTTGTAGTGCTAAAATCTACAGAGCTCTTTGGCCTGTTTTAATGTATTTGTAGTATATGTTTTGCCTGGATTTTATCATATGGTTGAGTGTGAGTGTAAATTAGTAGATTAATAGACTGATCATGCAACAGAAACATTTGTTTGATAACCAAGTAAATTAAACATTTTTTTTTAAATATACCCAAAAAATAAATCACTGCTTCAAATCTGAAAATGCGTTGTTTTTCTTAGCCTTCTTTGATAGTAAACAAAATATCTTTGGGTTTGGGACCGTTGGTAGGATAAAACAAGCAATTAGAAGACAACTGTGGCTCTAGGAAATTATGATGGCCATTTTTCACATTTTTCAATTAATTGATAATTACTGATGATGAAAGTAATTGTTGGTTGTACGCTCTACTCTCATCAAATGCCAGACAGCTTTAGGTTAGTGAATATAGGAAAGCACTAAAACAGAACTAAAAATAAGGAAACAAAAAACAAAATGTTAACTTTAGGTGACCAGAACAGGGATGTGAAATAAAAGGGTGATAGATAACCATGTGATGTTTTTGTTGATATTGATTTGGGAAAATACAGCCCCTATACAGTACCACAGTGTTAAGTCCAAATAAGTCAAAAAGGAAAGAAAATCAACAGGTATGTGTTCATTCTTATTATTTTTCTGATATTGTTTGTATAGACCTGTCCAATAGCTACAGTTATTTGGCAACCTGTCTGTAAAGGAGCTGTAATGTTTATCAGCTCTCTGTACGGTGTATTTTTCAGCCAGAAGCTTTCTTTAGTCACTTGGTTACAGTTTGATAAATGTGTCGAAAAGCTCATATTGACAGGAGTTATGAATTTTGTTCTGCTGTGTCGCTGGCTTTATATTTGTCTTACAGAAGCTTTGCGATGTTCATGTGTGTGAAACAGAGGCTCAGTGGTCACACACACAGTCTCACTTTGATTTCTGGCTCACATCCTTTCTGTGTGGAGTTTTTATGTTCTTCCTGTGTTTGTTTGTCCATTTCTTTGAATGTGTGCGATTGTCTGACAAAGTTACCTCTGTGACGGATAGCAACCTGTGGAGGGTGTTTCTTTGCTTTTTGCTCAGGGCATGCTTGGATGCACTCCTGCAGCCTATGACCCAGAGCAGGAGTGAAGACAGTGCATGAATTTTAAAGATAAGACTGGTGATATTCTATATATTTTGTTATTGTGGAAAGTGAAATACTTCTCTCAAAATAAATAAATAAAATCAATATGACTTCTGTACCTTGCAGCAAATACTCAAACAGGAGAATATGTGTGTATTTGTTTGTTAGCTATGAGCATTTAGCTACAACAACACAGTGGTGTACTACATGTTAGATTGACTCAAAATAAAATACAGTGCCCATGCTCTTGGTAATGACCAAACATGTTGCCAAGTGCAACCGTGTGGCTCACTGATGCGTTTTTAATCGCTTGGATGACAGTGGAGCTCTATGGCACCGATGAATAAGGCTGCACAGATTTGTAGGATCAGTTGTTGGTTTTGATATTTTGGGGGGATTTGTTGACAGTAAAAATTACAAGAATATCATTACACTTATAAATAAGCTGAAGATGAATGTCAACAATATCAAATAGGAAAGTTTTTCAAAGTGTAAGTGAGTAAAGTAAAGTAAAGTAATTAGTTGGTGGGGTGATTTAATTCACTATTCACGATGAACTATTACATCGATATAAGAAGTTATTTTGTGACAAGATTTTAGATGGTTTCAGGGATAAATCCTGGTGCATATTCCTCTTTTGCTCTGTTGCTCTGTCTGATGCCACTTCTCTCTGTGCCTGCAGGCTGTGAGAGTGACTACTGGGGACCTCATTGCAGTAATCGGTGTCAGTGCCAAAATGGGGCGAAGTGTAACCCCATCACAGGTGCCTGTGTCTGCACTGATGGGTACCAGGGATGGCGTTGTGAGGAGCCCTGTGAGCACGGTTACTATGGCAAGGCATGCCAACTACCTTGCCAGTGTCTCAATGGTGCCACCTGCAACCATGAGACAGGAGAGTGCATCTGTGCACCAGGGTACTCAGGGGCTTTGTGAGTACCAGCATCATATTTATTCCTTTGCAACTTTCTCTTTGGTGTCAATGAAAAAGTGTTGTGTTGTTTGTCTGAGTGTTCTTTGTTGATGCAAAGAACTGCAAGCAAACACAAGTTACAGTATGTGTCTGAGACATTTGACTCTTGACTCGTGTTTGGTGACAGCTGTGGAGAGCGCTGCCCCTCCGGTAGTCACGGGCCTCACTGTGAGCAGCGCTGTCCCTGTCAGAATGGAGGAACATGCCACCACATCACTGGAGATTGCTCCTGCCCTGCCGGGTGGACGGTAGGTCACACGAGTAAAGGTGGGAAGGCAATGAGGAAGAAAGGCCTGAGAGAACCGGGTTAATACTGTCGGTGTTCTGGAAAAACGTTTATATCTCAAATGTAGTCTTCAGAGCAGCAGCATGTTGAGAACCTTGATCAATATGCTGTGTTCAATTATAAATGAGAACGTGGGATTCTCTACTCCCTGCAGGGGAAAAAAGGAGTTCCTAGAGGGGAGGTTGAGCATGCTTTCTCAAACCACTGTTCACAAAGTAATGTCAAGTGAACACCTACAGTCAACAGTATAAAGTGATACACTAGGGACATCCCTATGTCCTTGTATTTTAAGGCAACGTTCCTGGTTTGATTCCAGCTAGAGACCTGTGTTGCATGTCATCTTCCTTGCACTCTTCTCACATGTCAAACTATTGAATGACTTTCCTTTGAAATCAGGGATGGAAGATATGGATAAAAACGTCTCTTACCATATAAATATTTTCACTCTTATATATCATGATCTAATGTATTTTCAGGAAATCCAGTTAAGAAACTGATTGCATATGAAATAACCATATATGAATATCACTTTTGGGCTAATTAAATACCTGACAAATCAAGGTACTTTATTACATTTATTAAAAAGTTTAGAAAAATTCAATTTTGCTATAGCCTTCCTCGCCATCGATAAACAACGCTGCCTACAGTTACCCTAAAAAAGGCAGTGATTTGAAAGGGACAGATAAACAATTTGATAACATCTCTAAGGCAAGACACATTTCTATTCTCTCATCATCATATTGCCCAACGCTACTTAAGATCAATTACTTGCCAATACAGCAAAAACTGTTTAAACTGTAAAATCGAGATATTCTAATATATATCCTGGCATGTTATCACTACCATGGGGTTCATTAATGAACACTTTGGACTTCCCGTGTGAAAACAAGAAGTGTTGTTGTCAGTTTATTTTCTGTTCTACATAGGAGAATGTGAGGCACATGTCAGAAACAGATAAAACATAAGTAGTAACGTCTCTAAAACAAAAGTTTAAGAGTCTTGGGTATTTCAGTCCTGGCGTAGTTGTGAGAGAAGTATCTCATATGGTTCTTTGCTGGCTGTTTTTCAAAGGGTTCAGTTTGTGCCCAGCCATGCCCTCTTGGCAAGTACGGCATCAACTGCAGCAAGGACTGTTCCTGTCGTAATGGCGGACTGTGCGACCACATCACAGGGCAGTGCCAGTGCGCAGCTGGCTTCAGTGGACGCAGGTATGCAGCAGACACCCCTGGCAGACAGACTCAGTTATTATGCACAAAAGCCTTTTTTTTTGTAGCACTCGGTGCAAACTTTTGTACTCCTACTTTGAAAATAGGTCAGACAATGGAATGATTTATTGATGTTAGTATTTAATGCAAAGGAATGGTTTCATGCCGACAGTTACACATTAAAAAGTCAATCATTTACCTATTCTCTTTGTTGACATCCAAATGAGGCACAAACCTGGCTGTTCTTTAAAAAAAGAAAGGAAATGTAAGAATAATCTCACACTCGAGAGAAATAAGCATTTATAAAAGCCCATTAGTCCATTTGAGGGTGGATTGGAAGCTTTTAATAGGGGTGTTTATGTTTAATTAATCTTGTACTTCATGCTGGCCAGCAAGGTTTCATGTCTTCAGCCTTCATCCTCCTCTACTCTCAGCCTCTCCATTGATCTCACCATGGGCTACATGCTGTTTGGATTCTGCTCATTAATTATAAGTAATGGGCTTATATTAAGGTCTCATTGAAATCCACAGATCTTTTCAGTTCCCCATGCCTGCCAGAGCAGCCCAGAGCAGCCTGGGTTTATTAGTTCAGCTAAAGCAATTGTCTCTTGGATGGAAACACTTCCTCGACAAGACCTTTCCTTTACTTTATTATTTTGCAAAATTGCCCTCATTCATTTCGTCAGTGGCAGGTGAATTAACCTGCCAGGAATAATCTGAGATTGTGTTAGCCCCCACCCTCTGCTGTCTAGTATAATAATACCATTGTCCCCTGATAAAACTAAAGCCGGGGTAATTTAAACATGAAACATAACTCGCCCATTTTATAATGTAATTGAGCTATTTGTAATAGCTTTGTTACACTCTTGAGATTGATACTCAACCAGGATTGTATCGTTAAGTCAGTATATTTAAGTTAAAAAAAATCCACTTTCTGATTTGCCTCAGTGCTTCATGTGGAGAAACTCCTCAGCAATTCTAATTTCTGTGGTTGATGACGATTACTAAGTCTTGTTCGACCCCTGCAGAGATACTGAAGTCCTGACTACTGACAGCAGGGGGCTGCTTTTTTAGGGCTTCCCTGTCATGTACTCATTGAAATTTTGCCATGTCAGCTTTGGATTTCTGACAATATTTTCAAATTAAATATTAATTGTCTAAATGATTAAATATAAAAAGATTATTAATAATATCAGATTTTTTACTATATTACAGTTGCAGCTGAAGAGCTTCACTTCAAAATGAAATTTCAGCTAGCACAATATATCCAAAATAGAAATTTATTTAGGGTTTTATTTGTAATAATATACAAATAGTAGAACAGCAAAAGTATTATAATGTAAAAGGCAATAATGCCATAACTTACATAAAATATATTAACATTAGTCCTTCATGTACTTAAATAATATAAAATGTATACTGTATAACCTTTATTTTTTATTTTTTGGCCTGCAACTAGCAATTATTGTCATTGTTAAGAAAATTTTCTTGATTCATTTAGTATAGAAAATGTCCAAAAATAGTGAAAAGTCACCGTTTCAGAGTCCAAGTTGATGACCAACAGTTTAAAAAGCAAACATATTAAATTTATGATGATATAAAACATTAGAAATTAGTAAATCCTCACATTTTAGAGAGTTTGAGACTTTTGCTTGGTAATGGCATAAAAAGTTAACGTATTGTCAAGATGCTGCTGATTAGTTTTCTGTCAGTCGACAACTAAACCTAATGTTTTCGGTGTATCACACATACAGTGCTGCGTAGACCTTTTTAATGTTTGAATTTTGCGTTACCACTCTTGACTTAATGCACTTGTTGTTTTTAGAACACCAATTTAAAAGACAATGTAATCTGTCCTCCAGGTGTCAGGATGACTGTCCTGTAGGCAGCTTTGGTCCGCAGTGTAACCAGAAGTGTGAGTGTCGGAATGGAGCAAAGTGTCACCATATCAATGGAGCTTGTCTATGTGAAACGGGATTTAAAGGCCCTAATTGCCAAGAGAGATTCTGTCCCACAGGCCTCTACGGCCTCATCTGTGACAAGTACTGCCCCTGTAATACCACCAACACCGTGAGGTAAGTGAGACATCAGTACAGTGCCACACACAGCCTCACTATGACCAAGCCCTGAAGTAAATCCCACTGTAGCATAGTGGTTTATAGCTATATGAATTAAGACTTCTCCAACCCAATTTTGCTTCATCTTAGCTCTAAGCCAGCACTCATTCTGAAGTCTGGACACCTCTTAGCCATGTCATCCAGTTAGCTTTTAATCGCGACCTTTGCTTCATTCATAATTTCTCAGCAGCATTCATAGTTAATGCAATGTTAATGCTCTGATTCCGGCTGGAGTTGGGCACCGACCATAGAAGTCATTACAGAGCGAAGGAGAAAGGGGACACCTCATCTATCTGAAACAAGCACGTAGACACATAGATGGATGAATTGCTGTTGGCGCAGACTTCACACTTTGACCCTCACGAACGAAGTGTTGATACTCTCAGAGCTGAAACTTCACCTCACTCGTTTTCTTCCTGTTGTTGTCCCATCTTTCTTTCTCATTATGTTGTAGCTGCCACCCACTTTCAGGTGAATGCACCTGCTCTGCGGGATGGACAGGGCTTTACTGTAATGAGACCTGCCCGCCTGGATACTATGGAGAGGGATGCATGCTGCCTTGCAGCTGTACCAACGGAGCTGACTGCCATCCTGTCGCCGGTGCCTGTATATGTGCCCCTGGGTTCATGGTGAGTATCTTGACTGCTATATATTTTTTGTCAACTATGTTTTATTAAAGAATGGTTTCAAGATGTAGGACATGAAAATGCAGTCTACCCCCTCACTGCTATTTAATGGTACTTAGGTCAGTGGCTGTTATCATGGTAATGTTTTATTGTTATTTTAGATGTTATATGTTTTATTGTTATTGTTTGTTGACCTTTACTTGGTCCCACGGACGGTCTTATGAGATCTAAATCTCCTTTTAGAGAGAACCAACGTCTCAAAATGCTAGCACAATTATGTTACACAAACCAGCACAGAGCCAACATTCACTGAAGGAAGAAAAAGAGGAAAAATCACAAAACACATTTAGAAGACATTAAAACATCCATCCTTAAAATTGTCTTGACTTATGTAAAATCATTTAACATGTTTCTATTTGCTCTCAATTTTTAAATTAAACACTGCTATAATTACAGTGTCAACTTGTATTTATTCTATTGGTTACATACATTTTTCATGTACCTGCAATTGGTTAATTGTCATTGTAATCTTGCTTCTTGTAATCTTTGTTATACTTAAATCTGTACAAACATTAAATAATAATGATCAAAGGAGATCCGTGTGGGGTATCAGTATTGTGTTAATAATATAGCTTATGCTGTGAAATAGTTCATCCTAGTGTTTGAGCTTAACTTGTGAAGGTTGTTGCTCTGATTTATATTTTTATGTTATTCGTGGCCGTAGTAAAATGTTTGCGTCATTGTGGTCGTAATGTTCTGGAAGTGTTCCCAATATTACTTTAGAAGCTTTTTGAACACAGGCAGGCAGAAGCAAGGTGAGGCATTTTGTTATTGCCTTATTATGGATGTGTTCTGTTGCAGCAGAAGAAATTCCTTGCTAAATGATTCATTCTCTGGTCCAGGCCTTTGCTGACATTAATAATAAGCCGTGCGTATTTTACAAATACGGTTAATGTGCCTTAACTTGTAGCATTAGAGAGACAAGTAGAAAACAACCTTATATATATATATATATTCCTAGACCAATTGGGAGAAAATTGAATCTTTGACCTACATACTTTTCCATTTTAGTAGTTTTTGTGCAGCCATATTGTCCCCTTTTACAACTGTCAAATTAGTTGGGTAACTTCAATCAGTTTTCCCATTGTATTTCTTGTCTTGCAATCTGAAGTTACAGAGCAACAGAGACCGAGAGGGTACATTTCTGCCAACATTACATTTCAGTGGAAATTGCCTATGTCTTACAGCGGGCCACTGTGGTGAATTGAGCTACCGAGCGGGGCCGCAGACTGTGTCTTAATTTGCTCCACCTGTTCTCTTTGGCGGCTGCTGGGAAGGGCTGCCAGATCCATTAAACAGACCTAGAGGGCAGGAGTTGGATAGAAAAAGGAGGCAGTCAGATGGGAACAGACACACCTCATATGGAGGATTGGTGTGTGTATGTGTTGAGGGGGGTTGGGGGGTGAGAACTTGTGGTAGTTTTTTGATACTTGCTGCTGTTCAAACAACACAGACCACGGATGGTTTGCCTATAATGGTAGAGCTGTGACCATGGTTCTTACCTGTAAGTGTGTAACTTTTTGCCACATACACATACATGATCATTATCACACAGTGGGGCTTTTTAAATTTGCCTGATGATGGCGTTGATTGCTGGTGAAGTCACTTCCCCATGGGACAGCTGATAGAACAAAGATGCAGCAGGGAGGCTTAGTCCTGAGTCCCATCGGGGGGCAAACCAAGCAAAGTGTTGGAGCAGACTGAGCTCCTGAACGCTTGATTTAGCTCTAGTAATTGGACATGCTCTTTTTGACTGGGACAAAGTGATTACATGTTACCTATTCAGGCATTGTCCCTTGCAATCTGCAGAATGTACTCACAGTAACATTTCTCCGCTATGTCTTCAGTTTCTACAGATTGTGTTGATACTGTATCTGAAATATGAATGCATTAGAAATGGATTCCAGTCTGCCTTTGTAGGTGGTGAAAACAAATCATTTTCCTATCTCTCAGGGCTTCTAGTCTCATCAAAAAGGTTCAGAGGTTCATTTTCTGTCTTGCTGCATGAATTTTAAACTGCAGTCACTCATCCAGCAGTTAGATGAACTCTTAAGGAGTGAGACTGATTGGTAATTAGTGGTACTATTTGCATCTAGTCTCAATGGGTTCCAGGCTGATCAATGTTGTGTCAGCGAGAGGCTTTCTGGAAAAAAAATGCTCTCCAATTACATTAAGATACTAATAGGTATGAATTTAGTGCCTTGGCCAAGGACAACCTGGCTGCCTCTTAGCGGCTCAGGTCTGGTTGCTTCCTCCATTGGCTGTGTAGTTATGTAAGGTCCTGCTGCTCTCGTGCAATGGACTGACAGCCCGTGTATTAATAATGATTCTCCACATACAGACTTCTATCCTTCGCAGCTTAGAAGGAATATGAATCAGTCAACTAATGAGAGAGCTGCCTTTCCCCTCTTGAGAGCAGACCAACCGCTGGTCTCTGTGCCATGAGGGTGAAACCAAGTGGAATCCGACGCAGCCATGGATGCAGCAAAATCCATGTGGTCATTTGTGGCTGCATGACGTTTTATCCATGAGTCCAGTCACCAGTAAATTGCCTGTGCTCTGAAGACGGGCTGAACCTCCCTACCCCACCCCCCAGCCCCCCTGGCTGGTCGAACTTCTCTCTGCACTTAACAACTGTAACTGAACTGCTATTGTTAGCAGTCTTGAAGCTGTCATTTCCAGTAGAACAAAGGTTATTGCAACCGATTGATAAAAATTTCATTCACAGACAGGCGCTTTTATGTGGTGTACGGGGAGGAGAGATGTTTTAAGATGTGTGTTCTGCCCCTGGCGTCCACTGGCACATCTCCTCCTGCCTCCTGTTTAAACTGAGTTCAAAATGATAATGAGAGCAGTGAGCAGCCAGCAGTCCCTCAGTGCTCTGGTTAGCAAAGCAAGAGCCACTCAGGACTCCTCTGGGCCACTAATTGGAACTCTAAATCATTGTGTCACCTGTCACTCAAGGAAGGGTTTGGAAGGGAGGGTGTGGGAATCCATAGACTGGCTGTGATCTCCAGCTTAGGGAGGGACGAGACTAGTGGAGGTGGGCTGTGCTCAGCCTTTAAAGCAGAGAAATTCAAATGATAGCAGGCTGCAGAGGACAGGGAAGGAGTGCCCCATGTCTTTTATCAGATAGTTCACTCTAATGCAATGGTAAGGGACTTAAAGTCTGCGCCAGCATGGCTGCTGTTCTCCCATTGGTGTGCTTATTAATAGTACTGTAGGGGACTAATTGAGAGTCTTCTGCAGTCTATCAGGGACGTCTCAGGGATCCTGTCTTTCCCTGTCCACCCTGTTCTCCATGGTGTTTATTTGTTTGGGTTTTGCATTTATCCTACATCTCTCAAGTTTGGTTTTGTCATCGTATTGTCATTCTTAGTACTGCTAACTCCCACTGTTGGCCTGAAGAGGGTGTAGACAGCCATGTGCTTCCTCCGATAAACATAGTATCACCAGCTGCTTCGGAAACTGCACTTCAACCAACCAGTAGGAGTCGCTAATGAAGGGACAAGGATATGATCCTACAACAGTCAGTTTAGTCCTTAATATAGGGACAAAATGGAGGGTTGAACTCTGGTCTTTCAGGCAGTGGGCGAGACTTTTGACCACTGTATCACTGCACCTTTGGAATTTAACTGCTATGGTGGTCCCACTCACTTGTTTTACAAAATCCCTACATCACCTTGCAGTTTATAGTTTTATAGATATATCTTCCGACAGGCATTTCACCAAACAAGGACCATCACCTGAGTTTGTTTAGAACAAAAATGGTTTGATCAATGACGTAATGCTAGTTGGACAGAAGGGCAGATGTGATAGTACTTCGATTGAAGGCTGATGGGGTAAGAGTCTGGATTCTCTGGGTTGGAGTCCTGCCAGTCTCTCCACTGATGAAAGTGGAGACCCCCTGTGAGACTAAGCTAAAGGGAGAGAGAGAGAGAGAGATGGAGAGATGGGGTGGAGCATGGTTACGAAACGCGTATGGAGTGCATAATTGGAAGCTGGGAAGCTTGGGGGAATCAAGGGTAGTCCCTCCTCTTGAACTTCACTTACTATTATAGCTTTATTTTACAGTTGCGTACAAATCCAGTATGACTGGTATCAATAAACAGTTCAGTAAGCTAAGGAGAAGTGCAGAGAACCATCCCTATATTTCTGTCCGCGTCAATTCAGACTACATTATTCCTATTTTAAGTCTGCCAGAGTCAGCATTTATTGCCATGCTCATAACTTTACATTGTTTCTACCTCAGGGTGAGGACTGTGCTACTGTCTGTCCTCCTGGTCTGTACGGACCAAGCTGCATGTCCACCTGCTCCTGCCATAATCACGCATCCTGCTCTCCAGTCGACGGCTCCTGCATCTGCAGGGAAGGTACAGTATAATTGACTGATGGTAAAGGTTCAGAGCAACTCCTGAGCTTTGTAAGATATGCTACACTGACTGTACTGTATACTTTATTATCTGACAAGTCAGATTCTTACACGAATGAACGGCACAGTCTGAATCCTCTCATTCTGTGCTTGAGAATGTAAGACAAAACATGAAGATTGTTTTTTTATATGATGACCCCTTTACTTTATTTATTCCCTGCTTCTAATTTTCAGTTTTCTTTTTTTTTCTAATTCTCTTATTGTGATATACAAGTCTTTTTGGCTTATGAACCCTTATAATGAGACATCTGCTTGAGACCCCTCATCAGGTTATGGCCATAGTGTGGACATTTTTTGTGGACGTTTTGAGCAGTTCAACCAAAGACTGATTTTTCCTTCCAGATTGTTTAATCTGAAGGCTCTTTAGAGGTCCTAAAGGGGTGAAAGTATTCTTTATTTCAGATAAAAGCAAAAATTAAAGACCTGAGGTTATGGCGCCACAATACAACATCCCATCTCTTTCTCCCTTGTTTCTCCTCTCTTCATCTCTCTACTTTCAACTATCTAATAAAGGCATGAAAAATCCCCAAATCCCCAAATCAGAGCAACAAGATTAAGAGCCTAAAACCATGCTAGCAGGTCTATTGGTGTGGTTAGCTAAATACTAACACATCTTAGTTTAATGTGTTTGCATGCTAAAATTAGCTAATTAGCACCAAACACAGGCTGCCGCTCAGACTGTTGGGAATGTCATTAGTTTTTCAGGTATTTAGGCATGAACCAAAGTCTTGGACAAATAATTACCTGATGATGCCACTAGAGGAAAAGTTAAGGGATCACAAAAGTTATTACTATGCAGATTTATCTTAAGGGTTTGAACCCCAGGTTGGGAACCACTGTACTATACCATTATTTTGCTTGTCTAGTTGTGTAGCTGTATCCACAATACACTTGGAAATGTCTCTGCTCTGTCTTACCCCAGGCTGGCAGGGTGTGGACTGCTCTATCCTCTGTTCCAGTGGTACGTGGGGTCTGGCCTGTAATCAGACATGCTTATGTACCAATGGAGCTGCATGTGACCCTATAGATGGCACCTGTACGTGTTCTCCTGGGTGGAGGGGAGAGCACTGTGACGAGTCCTGCCCTGTAAGTCTGTCTTATAACTAAGAGGTTGCTGCAGAGAATCCTGTGGTTTTTGGGGCACCATACAACTTGTAGCTATAACAGTGTGTTTTTAACATTGTCAGGATGGCACCTATGGCTTGGAGTGCCGTGAGCGCTGTGACTGTAGCCATGCTGATGGCTGTGACCCAGTGAGTGGCTATTGCCGCTGCTACCCCGGCTGGACAGGTCAGTATTGCTTTAATAATAACAACAGGCTGACTTTAGGGACATAAATATCCTCTGAGTTCTGTGTTTATTCATCCTCATCCGCTGAAGTTCAAAGACATCAGATGCTCATCAGACAAACTTATTTACCAAAACAGGAAAATATGCTGGGGCATTCATGGTTTGTACTGTTTACAGTATGTTTACAGAATGTCTAAGCAGTGTTTTGTTAATTAAATGTTCAATTTGTTTTGCCACTAAGCCAGCGGGGTATATGAATGTGTGTAAAATAATTATCTTGGCCGATGCACTGGATTCTGGTATGCACTCATGCTTATATGGCATCCATTATTGGTTATACGCAATGTCTGAAGTGACTCACCAGATAAATATTTGGAGATAGAATCAAATCATTGGCCCAGAAAGCTCTCATGAGTTTTAAACAGACTATGATATTATGGTATTTTTTATTTCCATGTTGTTGTAAAATTCCAAGTTGTTGTGAAATCTGACTGAACCAACTGCCATACTAAATCATCAGAGGATTCACTCTTTCATAGTCGGCATAGTCTCACTGTTTGAACTCTGATCCCCTCCAGACCCAAAAATTCCAATTTTTTTCTGAACATATGTCTGCTCTTTGTTTTGTGTCATTTTAAATATTTGCTTACAGGGAAAGAGATGGAGGTAGGAAAGTGTAAAAGTCACAGCAAGGTTGAAGATCATTATGCTCAAAAATGAAGTGTCGCATCTGAATGTCAAATACAGGGGTCTAGCGGAGGACCTGGTCTCTGAGCCTGGGTGGAGAGGTGCAGTCAGGGAGGGAATAGATTCAGCAGGAAAGGTCAAGCCTGTGAGCTCTCAGCAGCCCACTCCATTCAGCCTCCTGAGCTTAGGGCATTTATTCTGGGAAACAATGTGGGTTTTATTATCTGCAAGAACGGAGGCGGCAAAACGGGTCTCTCATGCTCTGAATCCTGCACAGGTCGGGACCATCTGTCAGCCTTAATTGAGTCACCGGGGTGCAGGGCTGGGGGCAACGTACAGCCCAGTGGGCCAGACAAACACACATACATACATACTTGAATCGTAGAGGCTTGACAATGGGCTCTCAGAAGGAAGGAGCACCTAGAGAGAAGAAGATGTGGGATTCGTCACAGGACTAAGTCAGGGATGGAATAAAATGGCTATTTACAGAAACACTGGAGCTATTTCTTGTGGTAAACACTGTCATATCACTGAGCATGCTGGCTCCAGAGTTGATATGGCATCCTACTTTGCTGTCAACTTGCTGTTTGTTTTATTGTGGGTTTTTGCGTAAACTGTCAAGAAGGTTGACTCTAGGAGTGTGTGCATGTAAGTGGCTAAGTCGTCTTTGACCCGCACAGTTGTTGCTGAACTGTCGTAAGCCTGACATCAGCCAAGAAAGATTCAAAAGAAGTGCCTACGACTGGACACTTGATGCAGGGGCGTTATGCCAGTCCATGTTAAATAGGACTTCACCTTTTATTTCAGAAGAGATTCCATGTCATGGAGCAGGTAATGTGAGTGTGTGTTTACATGCACTGAGAGAGAGACGTTTGCTTTGCTCTGCTCGCTCTGTACAAATTGGATGGTGGGACCTCAGGCACTTCTCGCCGAAAAGCCTCCTTTGAAGAGACTTCAGTTCTGGCTTCTCTCACTCTTTCTTCTTCTCCCTCACTAGGCATCCAAAGCCCCTCTGTTTGCCACCATTAGACTGAAAAGTGTGATGCTCTGCCCGCATTCATTTTCTGACAGTAAAGGCAGTCACAGTTTTTTCTGCTTGGCCTAGCAGAACCTCAAACACACTTGCACAAGCCTTGCCCTCCTTTTGATGTCTATGGCTGGGCTTCTGACTAAATCATTGCTACCATGCCCCTTCCTCATCAGCACTAACATTTCCTCTCCTTTACTCCTCCATTGCAGCCCGAAGGCACCCTGGTTACTGTATAACATTAGTCCCCAGAGTTTAGTCCAGGTTTAATTCAAAGGTACTGCACTAATGCTGCTTTAATGGCCACACCATTCTCAGATATTCTCACTCAAAGGAAATTTCAAATGAGGCTTCAAACTAAGGGCTGGCGCTTGAAAGGTTGCAGAGTTTGTGCACATGTGTGAGTATGTGACTCCAACTGTGTGTATGTGCCTGCATGGTTGCAGCAGTATTGAACCTGTGTGTATGTACAGTACATGTGGTTTTGCCCCTTAGTTTTTTTGAAGGCATGGGTATTGCTAAGAGAAAATGTGCTGCTTCGACGGATGTGAAGACATTCATGTGAACAGTGAGAGAACCGTATAGATGCAGTGTGTTTTGCGTTTGTTGGTTGGAGCTGCGCCAAACACACAGTGACACTTCCAGGCTGTGCACTTGTAGCCTGAGTACTTCCCTTTGGCTCTGTACACTACCCCGGCTCTGCTGAAAGAGAATGGGAGACAAGCTCGGCCTCTCTGGAGACCCAACCCTGTTAATCAACACAGTGCACTGGCAGGGAGCCCCAGTCAGATCAAAAATAAAATACATTTGGAAAGGAGTCTGGAAGGATGAGCTGAACTAAAAAAAAACACACTCCAAAATGCAGCTTCTTCATTTAGGATTAAAATCAGTCGAGGATCCATGCTGGGTGTATAACCCTCCACAGATCCACTGTGATCAGGCATTGTGAATGCTGTCCTTTGATGATGTGTTTTTACAGATGGCAGACTATTTAGAATATTTCAGCACACCCGTCTTTGCCTTCTTAGTGTGCATTCGCTGAATATTTGTCATTGTAATGTGCCTGCAGGAATCCACTGTGATAATGTGTGCCCACAAGGCTTCTGGGGACCCAACTGTTCAGTCAGCTGCTCCTGTCAGAATGGAGGATCCTGCTCTCCAGAGGACGGCACATGTGTGTGTGCACCTGGATACAGAGGGACCTCCTGCAAAAGAAGTAAGCCTCCTTCTCTTTCTCCATGCAACCTCTCTTTATCAAAAGCTTTAAGAAATCACAGGCACGGGACTGAGAGCAGCGCAGAAACAAACTCCATCACAGAAGTGACCTTGGTTTGGTCTTTGAAGAATTGTTGAAGGGTGAGCCAGCTGGGAAGAAGCACTTAGTTGTCGGTCATAACTGCTTGAGTGTAAACCCTAATCACTGCTATCACTTAATCACAGTGTCTGTAGCCCTATAGCACACAAACACACAGACTCCTCACCCCCTACCCTGTCCTCAACAACCAACTCACAGTGGGAGACTCACAGTCCTCGCCCGAGGCTCATCAGAGGGCGTGCTCACTGGGAGTGCCAGTTCGGGTTTCTGAATGGGGTCTGTCTGAGGCCTCTCTCAAGTGATGAGCTCACTGATTGGGAGGGAAATTCTCAGTCACAAACTTGTAAACATCAATTTGAGTGAGTTGCGAGATTAAACAAGCTGTGTGTGTGTGTGTGCGTGTGTGAGAGAGAGAGAGGAAATGATTACTCCTCCAAATTCAATGTTTACCCAGATAATGTTCTCGTCAGGTGGAAACCTCATAACTGCTGCATTTTTGCAGTTTTTTCCTGTTGAAATTTTAATTGGAGGATTACATGCTTCTCCAGAGGCTGATAAAGGTGTATGACACCTGGTGCTTTAAATCAAATCAAAACCCATGGGGTAAACTTAACACTGCGTGGTTGTCAAACAACAACCAAGGCTGTTTTGTCTGCTCCTAAAAGGTTTGTTATTTTGGAAATACCTGATTTCCTCTTGAGAATAATGGCATTGGAGCAGGAATCTTCCCAAATCATCGGCTATAAAAATAGGAACATAACATGGATTTTTAAGGCTCTCGCTGAAAATGAAATGAAACTATGTTTTTATTTAATATATTTATATAAATTACAGTATCTGCACAGCTAATGCTCTTTCTATAAAATGTTAGTATAATTACTTTATACAACCGTCTGAATATTTCTTAATGGTCCACATTCTTTCAATAAAATCTGCATTATTAACGCACAGTTGTGCATTTCCTGACATTTATAGATCATCAAGCTGCTCTCAAGACTTAACATAAAAGAGATTTTCACGATTCTCTTAACTATTTTACTATTCTATCTCTGGCAGCAGATGAAATGGGAGTGATTACAATAAAGACTGACTCCCCTGCTTTTTTGCTCCCTTTGCTGTCTCTCCCCGTCTTTTCTGCTTTAATTCTTCTGGCCTTGATTTTTCTGTACTCCCTTGATCACTCTTGTCATGCCCTGTTTCATTATTATATACCTCTTGTTCTATCCAACACTGTCGACTGATTCCCTCTTCTCTCCCGCCGTGCTCTGCCGGCTGCAGTCTGCTCTCCGGGGTTCTACGGGCACCGCTGCAGCCAGTCATGTCCACAGTGTGTGCACAGCACTGGGCCGTGCCATCATGTCACGGGCCACTGTGAGTGCCTGTCTGGCTTCTCTGGCTCTCTGTGCAACCAAGGCAAGTAGCCTTCTTTGTCCCTTTGACCTTTTCCCTGCTGTTTCTCTTGCTGTCAAATTCATTCACTGTGAAGTTTTAGTCCATGCTACTGAAAAATGTTAAGTACAGTTTATATCTGAAAATGCCCTAGCATTTTGTCTTGATAGGAATTTGAAAAAAAAAACCTGTATTTGAATGGTTCGTAAATACATTTTTTTATGTAAAAGTAAGTTATTATGTGCTGATGCCGACAATATCTCATAATATTTTAGGGTTCAAAAATGTCAAATAAACTCCTTCTGCCACAGCATTATGTGAGGACACCTGTATGTTTTCCTACAGTCCTTGCTGTTCTCAGTGACTCTAATAAGATCAACGGATGACCTCCTGCCTCTCCTTCTGGCATCTTAGCCCTGAAACTTTGAATAATGGCTATTATCAGTGCACCCCAGACCAAAATGGGAGAAAAAAAAATCAACCTTCAACGGGATCTTGAATATTGCTGAGACCCACTTTTTTAGACAAAGAACACATCAAGTAAATGTTGCTGTCCCTCTGCGTTATTTTGTGAAGGGAGCTGCATGTAAATTGCTTTTCACAAATAGACAAAGCAACAACACATGTGCATGTCCGTTCATCTTGTTAAATTTAATTTGAAGGCAACCAGGCAAACTTTTTATTTGTGTATTGCCTCAAAGATGTTGTTTGAATCACATAGGAAGATCTTGTCAGAAAGAAAGTGTGCAGCTTCCATACAGTTCCTTATTTTAGCTTATAAATGTGTGTTGATTACGATGTTAGAAATCATGAGTAATTTTAAACACTTCTGTGTCTTTCTGGGCCAACATACATTTTAAATACAAGCTATGTTGACAAATAAGTGTTAGAATACTTGTAATTACCATATAATGTGTTGACAATATCATAACATTTATGTCGTATGCTGTATGACATTTAATGTCATACAGCATACGTGTTTCATGATGATATAGCTCATAGTCTTGTTGTATTGAGTATTAAAACACAAAAATGCAGCTCATAAAGAGATTGTTTAACGTAAATTTCAGTGTATCATGCTAGTTTGTTGTGTTGTTACTCTCCATCTATTCAAGAGCTAAATGTTAGCAGTTCATCCAATATCAAACGTGGCAATTTACCAAAGGTCCATAGGTATTTGTTTTGTCAGTGATTCCTCAAAGGCTATAAAGTGCAGTAGGAATCTGCTCTCTGATCCCTGTGTTGAGCAAAGACACCTATACAAACGTACTGTAGATTTTACTTTCTAATAATTTACCTTTTTTTTTAATAAATTACAGAAAGGCAATGGAAGATTTTTGAATTCTCTTTCATGGCTTTGAGCAATGTCTTATAAATAAAAGTTTAATAGGTTAGCTGAAAGAAGAGAAAAAAGGAAAAGCGAGTGTTCGTCCTCATTTGTCGGACTATAATTACTGGTGAGCAGGCGTTAGGCCGCGAGGGACGAAGGTGGCCAACAACATACACATTCTCCTCTTTTTGAGCCCCTTTGGCATCCTCACTTGTCCTCTGTCCAGCACACAAAGTCCCAGCTTAATGAAGCTCTCCTGGTGTGTTGAGGCTTGAATCCCCAGAAGCAGCAGTATGGGGGAGCCAACCTCATGGACTAATGACAACCTGCTTGAAGGAGCTTGAAAGAGCTCTCAAGAAGAGGGGAAAGCCAGCTGAAATGTAATCATTAAAATCACCCCACATGAAAATGAGTCAGACCCATCTCTTTCACAGCCAGACACCTTATCTGATATTTCTAACGCTGGGCTATTCTCTTTATATGAGACCTTTTATGTATCTGCTGGCAGTGCAGCTCCCTGATCCTGATGGTTAGATACACCTTGGTTCAATTTGTCTCACAGCCAACAAGAAAACACAATGGAGGTTTCATTGGAAATGACATCTTTTATTGAAGAGTGCCGGAGAGCATTGAAATATTAATTTCATAAAAAATGTATACAGTGGTCTGTGTACATGGTCTATTTTAATTCTGTGGCACATCACTCATTCCACTCTTGTGAGTGGAAATGGGGCAGTTGTGCCACTGGAGGCAGTGATGTGATTGACTCCTCCTTTTGTTTAAACAGATCACTTCACTCCATGTCCACTCAAATAGAACAATATCATCCATTAGAGGAATATGTTTACACAACCTTTCACATAATGAGTTTGTTTGCATAAAAGTTTGGTGTCATAATGTTAATGGATTTTACTTGTCTGTGCATGTTTGTGAATCATGTTTTGTGTTTTGCAGTCTGTCCGAGCGGCAGGTACGGCCGGGCCTGCGCTGAAATCTGCCTCTGTACCAACAATGGCACCTGCAACCCCATTGATGGCTCCTGCCAGTGCTTCCCTGGCTGGATAGGAGAGGATTGCTCTCAGGGTATGGCTTCCCTCCTTCATTATGTGTTCAATTTGCTTATTCTCTCAGATTTTCCCATCTCATTGTCTGTCTCCACTTTCACATTTACCTTCATACACATTAATTACTTTCATGACCCTACACATTCCAAGAACTACCCTCAGCCCCAGCTTATGTAGAACAGATAGCTTGTTTAAATGATTGTTGTAATACATTATGCTCTTTGATTTACAGCACTGTAGGCCAAAGATCATTAGCAGAGCTTTGAGCCGTCATGCCGTGGGACATTGATGTGTGTTTTTTTATTGCATCGACTACTTAAAGTAAAAATAACTTATGATCAGATAGATGTTATATTACCAGCGCTTCACTTTGGATTATTCAAGCTGACATATATGTTGGCTCATATATTACAAATTATGGGCTTGTTGAGGGTAAAGATCGCACTGGATTTTCTGCAAGGATCTGTGTTAAGACACTGTGGAATATTTATTTGGAACATATTTTATAATATGTGTGGAGGGTATTTAGGCATTTCCTCAAACATGTGTGTTATGTACTTCATCTATGCATTCATAGGATATATCGTATGTGTGGGAGGGTGTGTGATCATGAGCTTGACTGTGTCTCTGGCGTCTACAGCCTGTCCGTCTGGGCACTGGGGCCCTGATTGTCTCAACTCATGTAACTGTCACAATGGAGCCCAGTGCAGTGCCTACGATGGGGAGTGCAGGTGCAGCCCTGGCTGGACCGGACTCTACTGCACACAGCGTGAGTCTCTCCCACCCAGTTAGTAGACACACACTGTCATCTACTGGCAGTCCAACAGAACTGCAGCAGATGACAAGTGAGAAACGTTTTTTTTTAGAGACAACTGGGCAACTGGATGATAATAGTTTTTCATTTACAGGTTTTTTTTAGAGAAAGCAACATCAAAATAGCACTAATGGTCACTTCATTGTTTGCTAATTATACATTCCAGTCATTCACACAGGGATAGTGCAGATCATCATCAGTCCACTAATTTGAATTCCATTATCTATCACCACAAGGGTTTTATTCAGTCTTTTTCGCGTTGTCATGCTCTTTCTCTTTTGCATGAAAATGGCATTTGTTTTAAAAGTTTTTTTCTGTTTTTCCCTAGCTTCTTACTATTTCCAGTTGTCTTGTTCTTTATTTTCACCTCTATGTTATGTGAACACCATAACCAGATTTTCTGCTGAAGCATGAAATGTTTAATTTCCATTCATTCACATTGTCCCTTCTTGAGTATGCTGCAGAGACATTGAATGGTATTGATTTTCCTGTTCCCCTGCGATATGACCTTGACTCTTTACGTTGTCTTCCCCTCTCTTTGTTGTCCACCCCCCCCCTCCCACCCCAACATTTTATACATCTCTGTCCCAGGCTGTCCTTCAGGGTTCTACGGCAGGGACTGCTCCGAAGTCTGTCGCTGCCAAAACGGTGCAGACTGTGACCACATCACTGGCCAGTGTGCTTGCCGAACAGGCTTCATCGGGACGAGCTGCGAGCAGAGTTGAGTAGGCCCCGCAAATTTTAGCTCTGAGCAAAATTACCCTGTAGATGAGTGCGGTTGTGTATGTGTGTTCTATAAACACTTTGGCTCCCACTCTCTAAGTGCTTTAATTTTGATGGATGTAGTAATGCACCTCTCTCCCATGCAGAGTGTCCTGCTGGTACATTTGGATATGGTTGCCAGCAGCTGTGTGAGTGCCTGAACAATGCTACCTGTGACTATGTGACTGGAACATGCTACTGCAGTCCGGGATATAAAGGCATCCGTTGTGATCAAGGTGAGAGGTGATCGGGATGATCAAGGCTCTCCACTGTATAATCACTCAAACACAGATGTGTACACAGTGTTTAAACAACCCACTCTCTGTGTTTTCTCTGTAGCAGCTCTGATGATGGACGAGCTGAACCCGTATACCAAGATTAGCCCAGCGCGAGGCTCGGAGCGCCAGTCTGCAGGGGCTGTCATGGGCATCATCTTTTTACTCCTCATCATCATGGCCATGCTCAGTCTGTTTGTGTGGTATAGACAGAGGCAGAGAGACAAAGGACACGAGATCCAGCCCAGTGTTTCCTACTCACAGGCGATGCACATCACCAACACTGACTATTCCCTGTCTGGTAAAATATTTTAGAGACTATTCAACCTATTTGCTTACTATGGACAAATTATAATGTTGTTGATTGGGGAAAAAAAACTATTTTTTTTTAAAAATCTTCATGCATATTAGTACTTCAAAGATAGCCGACAAAAGTATGAACAGTCAAATTCTTTATATTTTTCAAACCCCTCAGAGTGTGGCAGTACTGTAGCGATGAGGACCAGTGCTGCTGAGGTCAATCAGAGCCAGAACAGCAGCAGCAGTAGCCAGTGCTTCTCCAACCCCAGTTACCACACTGTGGCCCAGTGTAATGTTGTCTCAACCATCTCCAGCAACCTGGATGGCACTCTGACCCTCAAAGTATGGCCACTCTTCATGTGTATATGCATCAATTTTAATTTTTAAAAACATACTACAGTGCAAAAGACCAAACTGTGCACCTTCTTTTACAGTCAAACACCCTGAAAACCAGAAATGGCTCAGAATGGAGAGCCTACTGCAACCTCAATGATATAGGTAAGTTTTCCCTTTCTCTTACCATGATGCACCACATACATCCAGAATTTCTGAACTTTGTAGAATCTGCGCTTCAAGGGCAAAGACGCATGTGTCGTTAGTACAAACCTCATATAGGCACCAGCTACCCTGCTGTGAATGAAGATGAACCAGGGGTTTCTTGTTAGACATAACCTTTGCTCTGATTTTGATAAGATATGCGTGTGGGACAGAGGAAGCAGTGGTGCGGAGGTGAATAGGGGTCACTGTGAGCTCATTAGTCCTCTTTCACTTCCCCCAGTGGCACTTCTCTCTATGATGGCTTACACTGGGTCAGATACTGCTCTCTTGGGCTGTGAATTATAGAAAAATGAAGTGTGACTAAATAATAACTTCTCTGGTTCAAATATCCTCCTATTAGCGTTTATAAGCAGTGCAGAAACATTTGATAAATGGTTTAAAACACACTTGTGAGCCAAAAAAAGTTCTTGTTAATACAATAAGAGTATAAAATGTGTTTTCATAGAAGAAGAGTTATAATTGTTGACAAACACTGTACATTAATGAGCACTCACACATAGCTATATGTTTACAACTACTTTATAGCCTGTTATGAACCATTTATTAAATTTGTATTTATTGTTTATAAAAGCTAAACAGGAGGGGTTAAAGTAAAGTGTTAGTGAGATTATACTGCAAAGTGACATGCAACAGTATAAATATCGATGATTCATTCTTTGTTATGCTTGACCTCAAAGTCAGATATCTCGATCTGCACTATTACAATAGATCAATCATAATGACAAGTCCCTCTAAAAGAAAAACGTATTGGATGTTTACGCTGATGTACTGAATTAAGAGACTGATGTAGCACATTGATGTAGCCTTAAACAGGCTTGTGTTCTCCTCATGATGTGTTGTTGTTTGGCAAATATCCCATTATGACCACAGATGATTATGTAGGCTTGTAAGCCTTGGGGGAATGTGTTAGCAAGCGGGTGAAACATTCAGTAACTCCTCACATTCACATTCCTCATATTCTTCTTCTAAAAAAAGAAGACATATCGTACCATAATGAGATATTTCCCGTTAACCTTCACACACTGGGGGAATATGATGTTTGACTTTCATGTTTTGACATTTGTTACAGATGTTCAACAGGGGGACACACAGACACAGAGAGGCTCCAGAAAAGGTAAATAATTAATTGTGGTATGTATGTGTGTGTGTGTGTGCAGACATGCTGCATGTGGAATCCTGTTCAGCCTCACCAGCACCAATATTACAAAACCCTTTTATGCTCAACAGCCCACATATCAATTTCCCCATTTGGTTTCTATTCCCCTCTGAAACTGCCATTTCTCTGACCCAAAATCCCATATCCTTATATTCTCCGTGATTTATGTGAAAACTCTCTACACTTTGGATGAGATCATGGTGGGCTGAGGTTTTGTTCCAACGGTAATTGCTCTCTGTGGCTCAGTGCCCGATACGTCATTTTGTCTCCCACACTGTGCAGTCCGTGGTGAGTGTGAGGGACCCAGAGGTGTGAAGAGTGGTCTGAAGGAGCTTTGCTGCGGTCTCTAATGAGCCCTCTTATCAGACTGATGAGACTGTTATGGATGAGAAGAGCCTTCCACTCTGTCCCCTTTGTACTCTGATTACTATATACCACCATTAGTCACCTGTCGGAGACAAAAGAAGTACAACTTTCTTAGAATGGCAACGATTTTCATTGCCATTCTCCAAGCCACTCTCTGATGTCCATTTAAATTTTAGTGCTAATACCAGAGTCTAGCATTAAGACCACTCCTAAAAGTCAGTGACAATCTTGTCATCTTTGTTGATACTGAATATGTCCTTGTCTCGCGGCTGCTGCAGATTACATCAAGGGCTCCATGTGCAGCAACAGCTCCTGCTCCCTGAATAGTGAGAATCCATACGCCACCATTAGAGACCCTCCAGGGCTGGCTTGCAAGCACACAGAGAGCAGCTATGTGGAGATGAAGTCCCCCTCCCACCGTGAAGTGCCCTTTGGAGGCACTGCCACCCTCCTGGGCAGTGCGAGCAGGAATGTCTATGATGTTGGTGAGTGCGTTGTTGCTCTGGTGTGTGGCGCTCAGCAGGGTCCTGCAGCTTATGGCCTCTCTTGTCATGTACCCCGGTGTGAGCCTGTATAGACTTTGTAAGCCTTGATGAGTGGAAATGTGAGCTGCCTCTCTATTGCATGCATCTCTCCTTTCTCCTTTTTCCTCAGCCTGTGCCTGCCAATCTCCAGCCTCAGTGTTTCTCATGTACCTCTCCTACTTTTCTTCTTCCTTCTTTTCCAAAACTATCACAGAGCCAACGGTGAGTGTGCTGCAGGGACCAAATGGAATGGCCACCGGCTTCTCCCAGAGCCCCTATGACCTTCCCCGTAGCAGCCACATCCCCAGCCACTATGACATACTGCCTATGCGTCACAGCCCCACACACACACCCCCGCCACCCCCAGAAAGTCCCAGCTCCCTGCTCTAGAGGGCACACCCTCCGCCCGGCTCTGACAGCGTGCCTGAAGTCCAGGCAATGTCAACTTTTCAACCAACGGCCCTTCCTCTGTCTCCGTGTTTGTTCAATTAGATACTGAGATGTTGAGATGGAGGGACAGCCACAGCTCTCCTGGACCCGGCTCTCTTTGGCTCCCTCTCTGACACTCTTTCTGTGGCCCTGAAGGAAGGAAGGGAGGAAAGAGTGTCCCACACACCAGCGACCATTCACCCATTTTATTTCCTTACAGAACTGATCACTCAAACTGCTGCCCGGCCTCTTTATGGACCTTCTGAAGTGGAACATAATGGTTCTAAACAGCGCTAAGGGCAGCATACAGGGATTGGGTGGACAGATTATTTACAGGGAGAGAGCTATCCTCACACTCATTTTTATCCCATGATATAGGTTTACTATTCAAGGGCAGCCAAGTGTTTATAATGTCCCCTAAACAGAAGTGATTTTCTCCACAGAAAGGAAGGTATAGCAACCTTGACCATTTCAAAGCAGGTGACGATTTACTACATAGAGACATCAGAGTTTATGAATTGTCACTGTGTGTAGCAGCTGCAGATCACAGCACAGCTGACATTAAGTGATTATGGCCATCTACTCTGAGGGGATAGTAGAGAACTGTCTGTTCTAAATGGTAAACATGGAAACCCGGCTGAGAATCTGAAAGCATGGATAAATAGTAAAATATTGTAATGGTCCTTTATTCACTGTTATCCTGTAAAGGTCACACAGTTAATACTAAGGTGATCCCTGTCTGTAACTCAAGAGCTTCTTTTTAAGTTTCAGTGGAAATGAGGCCCTGTGTATCTGGAGATGCGTCCAGGTCACCAGTGTTCATGCATTGTTACATTAACTAAGAGACACACTGATGGAGTGATCATATCTTGTGTTGTTTTCTATGTGAAAGCATTTTTCTTGCAAATGTTTTTTTTTTTTTTTTAAATATTGGGTGTTAATAAGGGATTGCTTTGAACTTTTATGTTTTGTATTTATAAAGCTAATTGCTTTATATAATAATTTATATTAGTGACAGTGAATTTTTATCAATGTGACACTAGAATATAAAAAGATGAGCATGATCAGATAATGGATACCCACTGCTGTAGATAACACAAAATGTATCTTCTTGTGAGATGATCAGTGTCATTTTGTGAACTGTTTTTGAAGTTATTTAAAATGTTATAAAAAAATCTCTCTCTCTCTCTCTCAGATTGTAAATTCAAAATAAGGTTTCATCTGACCAATTCAAGATCCTCAAATACCCTGTGCAGTATTTACAAAGGGAACTATATGTAAAAAGTCCGATTCTAAAATATTTTATGTTTGTATCAGGCTAATTAACTTATTTATATATTGAACTGAATTTATTCATTCACTATGTGAATTCCATTTCACCCTCTGTAGAAGCAATAACATGTTGACAATCGATGCCCAGACAGTGTTTCGTTAGTGCTGGACATTATGCCATCTTTGACCAGTGTGGTGACAGTGGATCATCTTTTATGTGACTGTTTTTCCTCTGAGGAAGGTTTTTTCCAGTTGCTGTCATATCAATGCTGCTTGTTGTTTTGGTACTTAAGTTTCAAATTAAAAGCCTATTCTGCCATCAGAAATCGGTTTCAATTAGGTTAATAACCTGGATAGATAGAAGATGAGTTTACGTTTCATGTCAAGTGTTAGAGAGGACATGTCTCTCTTCATCTGAAGGTGTCAATATCAAAATGTCATCATGACAATGAACGTTGTGTGTTTGATACTGATGGATGAAGGGTTCCACTCTAACAAATAAGAAATGTTATTCTGTTAATCTTACGATTTCTGGGCTATACCTCAGCCTGCGATACGAAGTGTCAAAATGTTGTCTTGTTAAACATATTCCAGATTCATGAATGGGGACATTTTGTCAAACTGATCTCATGTTAAATGGAGTTTTCAGAAGGTTGACGACTATAAGATTTACGTTGTAGGCTTCAGTTCTGTACAACTTGTGATTGGAACAACATTTTAAAGGTTTTAATGGTCTGTGAAGATGTTCTGGCCATTTTCTTTTTTACAGCTCTTTAATACATGAATTATAAGATGATGAATATAAATATGATGTATTGCTTTAGATACAACTAGGCCCCATACTTGATAAAATGATCTCCACCATAAATAGCTACAACATTAAAGACCTGTGCACATGTTATTGCATCAAACCAATTAAATAATACATCAAGATATTACAGGGGCCATTTATCCTTAGGGGGGGCATTTAAATAAAAATTTTAATGCAGGACCTTTACTTGTAATGCAGTATTTCTACATTGTGGTATTTTCCTACTTTTACTTAAAGAATCTGAATACTACTTCCACCACTGCACAGTCGCCCCCACCGATCCTGCATTTCTAATTAAGTTGGTGTTGACACTGTGTGAGAATTCAACACTGTCCTTTGCCTAATTTAAAGAGTAACTTCACACCAGGCTGACAAGCAGTATTCATTTTCAGTCATTGCCTCCTATGGCTGTCAAGCCTGTTTCACCTCTAACTGCAGCAGGCATCACTGCTGAGTGTGGTCAGAAGTGTGCTTTGTTGCACCAGTAACCACACCCAACAGTGATGTTACGGAGTCCTGGAGTACATCTGTACATCACTGCAGCAAGGTGAGAAGTTAAAACCCCTGGTGGTCAGTAAAGACAAGACTTCTAGGTGGGGGGGGGGTGGTTACAACACTGTAGGCAGTAACTGAACTACTGACACAGGCATCTAGTGACTCCAACCACAACACCAATACTGTATAGAAACATGAACACATGCAACTTATGTGGGGAAAACAATGTGCTTTCAGTGTAACATTAAGCCTGAAGTACGTCTGATTCATAAAGAGACAGTGGAATTGTGGCTGGTTAAGAAAGTTGTCTTTGCTGAAATGGGATGACTATTATATTATGGGAACTCATAGAAGTTGCAGTGAATCAGCTCACTATAGCAGAGGAGTTTGTTCCTCAGTTGTTAGAAGCAGGTTTCCACAGATGATGGACATGCTGCCCTGCTGGCAGCCAACAAGGCCTGAGTGATGCCCCACTGAAAGGAAACATGGCCAGTAAGTCAAGAAGCTAATGGACCAAATACAACTTTGAGTACTTCAGAGAGAGAAGCATGAAAAGACGAGGTCACACTGCAGCGAGGTGAGCACCCTAGAGAGGTTTTGATTTTGCAGCTGTTGAATGTCCTCTCAGCGTAGGAATAATTAATAGTATTTCTCACAGCTCAGAGGGGGCAGAGTTAGAGACGCCAACAAAATTTATTTAACTTATCAGAGAAGGCAGATTGAGAGCAGGGCAGATACTGAAAGGTGATAAGTTCAAACTGTGTAAAACTCAAAAGCCTCCCTGCACGACATCCTACTAAAAAGGTGCTGAAGCCACTACTCATGTTCAAAATGCAGGTATGCTGCTGGGGAGCTAGTGCTGCCTTTCAGCTGAGTCACTGTGACAAAAAAATAAAAGCCTTTGATTTTGATCCTGACTCATTGTTCAGCCATTCTGGACCAACGTGGATTAGGTTTGAAACACAATATACAGCCATTAAGAATGTCATTGTAAACTTGTAATTCCCTCTTCTGCTCCAAGGATTTCTAGATTCTCACTGATACATTCACATCTGTCCACACCTGTGCGCCATCATTTCTAATTTAGAGGCATCAACTGCCTCAGAAAAAGTAATTTGTTTTCCTTTCTTACACATTTACATTTTAGGTATAAAATTAATCCTGACAGTAGAAAAAAAACTAATTCCTTCTCCTCTGTTTCTCTTCCAATTTCAGTGTGATGCATTGAATACTTAAGTTATACAGCGTGTTTGTTGCATATTTTAACTTAATTAATTCACTATTTACATACCGTACACTAGTTGAAATTCTATGCAACTGGCAGGTTTTCTGGTGTACAAAGTACAATGGAAGATGTAGGTTTAAAGATAATTTATTCAGCCCATATAAAAAAGTTGTGGGGCAAGGCAATTTTATTTATGAAGCACATTTTGTTAACTCGTGGGATTAATATTTAAATGCATTAAGCAACAAGTAACATGTACAGAAGAATATAATAACATATAAGAAACTTCAACCATAACAAACAAGAAAAAAACAATCTGAATCAGCAAGCTAAATACCAATAAACCCTCATTCTTTTTGTCATAGAAGCAGACAGAAAGGGCACAATAACTAAACTAAACATAACTGAATAACAAAAACAAATGTTGTTGCCGAAGTAACAGATAATGTCAAATTGCAGCACAATGACCAACATTAGCAAAAAGGAGTGCAAGTTTGTTTACTTAAATTCATCATTTTTCAAACATGACTGGACTTCCATGTGAAAATACCCTAGATTCATACAGTACAGGAGCAGAACATTAAATAAAACAACCTGGACTATGTGTTAATTCAAAGTAGGACTCTCTCTAGGCTGATTATTAAAATGTTAAATATTGCAGAGAACTGTGGGGACTTTCCCTTACTAATGCAGGCCTGAAGCGTAATCCTTTCTGCTGCAGTCAGCCTGTCAGCTATATCTTTCAGCCAAAGCTGTTTTTTTTTTTACAGAAGCTGCCACTGGGATGAGGCTATACCTCTAAATGCTCTGACAGAGTTGCACCTTTGATTTATTCTCAAGAGGCTGCACCTGGATGCTGACCACACTGCTGCTGGATAACCTGTCACTTTCAATTCAGTCTGACATCAGCTATTAAGAGCCCAGGCAGGTTTATGGGGGGAAATGAAGTGGGGGAAAAAGTGAACATACAAAATGACTGGCACACCTCTGGACTACCTCTGTTGAAGTTTGCATTGTCCCAATGAATCTCTGCTATTAGGATTTTAATCAGTACTCTGTTACTAGTGTAATAGTCATTTTATTTAAACATGTACCATTTGACTACACAATACTGTCCACAGCAGAGCTCAACTGCAGATCTTTATTGCGGTCACGTCCTGCTACAGGAACTGTGAGGATCCATCAGAGCAGAGCTGGATCTTTACTTAGCCATTCTTAATGCATAATCAGTATTCATCCCAGTCAGACTGATCATTCACACGTCCTCTGTGTCTATAATTGTTCCCAAATTCAGACCAAAATCTACACAAATACGCCCTTTAACAAAGTAAGTCTGTAACATTTATTATATGGACAAAAGATTTGTCTAAATTTGTCTAATTAGAGAGGTCATTGAAAGGAGGAGGACTCTATGAGAATACTCTGGACAGTTGTTTTTCAGCTGAGGTCTCCACAAGTGACTATTTAAGATGCAGTGAGATGCTGATAAAAGAGGTTTAGTCATCATTTTTGAGCTGGGGATATTTGATACCAGCTACTGTATACAGAAACATTCTTGCAAATTTTAATATTTAAACTTAAATCTGTATTATTTCATAACATGGATTATTTGTCATTAAACTTACAGTATGTTGGTGTATGCATATTTTGAGTTTGAATTGGTCACCCATTTTGAAGGCCAATGTCTATCCAACACCAGGTCACTTAATTAATTTATTCCACATTTAGTCACTATCATTATCAGGTCAGGCTTGCTTGTATGGGCTGTAGCCGTTAATTACAGTTCAAAGGGCGTCACATTGCCCACACTTATTAAAATGACATTCATTAATCCTTACTCCCTCTGTGAGAACCATTAAAACTCCCACGAAGAGTTACTGGATATAAGAGAACTAAAACAAAAGAGAAAGAAAATATGTTTAGATAAATACTGCTATTCCTCCCATTGGCCACCAGATGGCAGACAGGGTGTCTGTACATGTGAGAGTTGAAACAATGACAAGTGAGTAGTTTTCTTTATTTATTATTATTCAAGATCATTAAAATCACATAAAAGAAAATAAAACTATTGACGATAAACCATGCAAACTACA